GTGGGCCCGATGACCTATAACTTTGTGCTAGAACAGTTATTAAGGCCCCCCACCCCTAGGGTTCCGTCTAACCCATTTTGTTCACAAGGTTTGAGTCATCGCATGGTATGGTTTTCAGGCACTTTCCAAAGGTGCCGCACACTGGGATCGATCCCTTCAGTCCGATCACATCAGGAAGTCTTCTTCCTGACAAATCGACCTTGGTGAGATTCGAACTCATTGCCAGAATGCGAACGTTCTGACCACTCGGCAACCTGCTTCTTTCTTTCTTTCTTTCTTTCTTTCTTTCTCTCTCTCTCTCTCTCTCTCTCTCTATATATATATATATATATATATATATATATATATATATATATATATATATATATATGCTGATCGTATTTTACAATTTAATTCCTTGCTGCTCAGTGCTTTTTATTCCCAACGATCGAAAGTTATAATGTGAAAACCTGTAGATCAAATCATACTTGTCAGTCTGCGTACTAATTGATCCAACCTTGTAAGTCGGTCTGTATTTGTTCAAATGCAGTCGCCATGATGCATGGCTATCATTCGCCGTGTAAACACTTTGATCCACGTCATTAAGCAGTTTTTGTTTGTATATCAAATAAACCTTCGCTGTTTTATCGAAAATAAGCAGGTGTCTAAACGGAGTTGTCTATAAATAATTACATTTGGATTAAAGAATCGATTAAATGAAACACGAAATGAAAATATATTTAATGGCCGGCGTAGCATGAAAAGAACGGAAGGAATAAACATTTAGAAAATAATTAAACGTGCAAAAGGGTATTAAATACATGAATATGTTCGGAGAGAACGAAGTCATTTCTCTTTCCTATTTAGCGTCTTTTTTTTCTTTTGGGGATAAAAGTTTGGCCTTTAATTTCTCTCTTTTTTTTTCTTGTAGTACCGTATGCAAATGAGATAGACAACTATAAGTAGAGAACAATTGGTGAACAGAAGGACCTTGCTTAGCGAACCCGTTTGCTAAACGTAATGTGAAGAACTGAGCTACGACAGCAATATTTCTTGTTTTCTCATTTTTACACATGCAGGGTGAATCAAAAGTAGGCTTATACTTATTAGGGCTGCAATTTACGCTTTTAAAAACATTTTATTGCATTTATATTTATTTGTTACAATTCTATTTCTTCAAAATTGTTTATGTACATTTGTTTAACACTTTACTAATATTTTCTTGCACAGTTTAATCTCTTAATTGCTCAAAATGTCTTCCTTCAACACTGCAAAATTCCTCGAACCTCTTCAGAACACTGTGTCACACAGCACGCCACAAATCCCAATCTACACCAATTTCCTTAAATACTTCTGAGATGTAATCTTTTAATTCGTCGTTTGGGTGGATATTTCTCTCATAAACTTTGCTCTTTACTGCACCCCCCAAAAAGAAATCCATTGGTGTTAGGTCAGGTGAACGTGGTGGCCATTCGATACTGCCCTTTCTTCCGAACCGACGATGTGAAAAGGTTTGGTTTAAGGTATTCCCTTACTGTCAAAGCGCCATGGGGAAGTGCTCCATCTTGCTTAAAGAACAGTTCGGAGAAGATAGCTCTGAATCTGATCTGTGGAAACGTGATACAAATTGTGAAATAACCGTAAGCCTACTTTTTATAAAACTTGTATGTTATTAAGACAAAACAGCGAATTAATTTAAACCTCATCAGGAATACAAAAAGGAAGTAATACATTCTTCATTTATTCAAATAAAGATTAATAAAAAAAAAACTTCATGATATACTGCCAATTTACCAAAATTTGATTCGAAGTTAAGACCACCTCGTGAAGATCAAACTAGTTCCAGAAATATCTTCGAGATTATACATCTGACCATTATTCCATGATCTCTTCTCTTCAGGACGAAGGCGATCATGACTCTTCATAATTTTCTGTCCTCCATGGATCTCGATCTATCCTGTGATTATCCGCTTTTTCCAAGCTCCTTTTTCCTCATTATGTGCCCTAGAAATTTCAATTGTCTCTTCCTGATATTAAGCATAAGTTTGTTTCTATTTTGCTCACATGTTCAGTCCATGGTATTCTCAGCATCCTTCTGTAGAACCACATTGCTGTTGAGTCAAGTCTCTTCTTCATCTGTCAGGACATTGCTCAACATTCACTGCCATATAGGAAGACTGGTATCACGTAACAGTTCAGTTCTTTTTTCTTTGTTTCAAACGATGTTTTTTCTCTCTCTGTTTCTTAATACGGCGAGGAGGCTTTAATTAAACAACGTTCTATATCTTCTTCCAAATTTCGGCAGTCATAGCTCTTCACAACTTCTTTTTATTGCACTAAGTAAAATTTAAATCTTAAATCTTGTTCTGGTATCCATTCACTTCTTGGTTTATGCGATGAAGCCTTTCATGAGGTGGCTGATCATGGCTCTCCACAGCTTCTTGTCTTTTGCTATTCGAAACGATTTTGACTCTTCCATCCCTTACTCGGTATTCAACCATCCATTCATTTCTTGTATGTG